CAGCTGGTTCTATTGTACCTGTTGCTGGTACTGCAATAGGAGCTGGTGTGGGAGCTGGAGTTGCCTTTGTTTTGAGGTTGGCTGGTTATAGAAACAATTAATCAGATTTTTGAATTTTTCATTATTTTACTTTTATTTTGTATTATATTAATATAAGCCCAGCAAGGAACTCTACAATACCTGTTTCATTAATGCCCCTACTGTTACTAGCTCCTGCATCAATAATAGTGACCAGTGATCATGTAGTATCACCTGGACCAGCTCTAGGACACTGTATCACAGTACAGTCTCCCTGACCCACTGGTAGGGCGTATATGTGTAAACTATCATCAGGTGGGGGTATTGGAGGTATGGACAGTTTGGACACTGCTACTTTCAGTAGCAATGAAAGAACAATAGCATTTATCTTCATGTTACAAACGAACGTGATCTTGCAGTGTAAAGATTGCTTGATATTCTTTTTCTTTATATAGTGTAAGTATAACTTAAACTGTCAGTGTAGCTACTAATAACTGACTAATAATTAGTAACTGATAAGCACTGATTCCACTGAATATCAGTAAACAACATATTTATCTACTGATTAGTAACCTATACATAAATTTTACCAAAATTGAAAAGAAGAGAATTCAGCATTTTTATAATTTTTCCTGATTCTGATCAAGTTTGGATTTTTACGAGTTGTTTAACTTGCTTAAAAATTGGGTGAAAGTCCCTGTGCTATATATTACATGGTCTCAGGCCAATTTTTTCCAAAAATGAAAAAAAGAGAATTCTCCATTTTATGCTATAGTGCACAGTATATGTTGTATGCGCATCAATAAACTTGACATGACATGAAAGACTTAGTCAATCATTGATTTGATTATTTCCAGTCATTACTCCTACTCCAGTTACCATAGGAACTGGTGGTGGAGGAGTAGTCTGTAATCTGATTGGTCAGTTACTGTTATTATTATTAATGGCTTGTTAATTACATTATGAAGTTACAGAGAAACAAACACTGTAGTGTTAGTATGGCTGAAGTTCAGTCTATAGCTATAGAAGTAGAACCACAAGATGACACTGAGATAATTATAGTCCATGGGAATGAAAACATTGAAGACAATCCTACTGAAGACAGTAAAAAAGGCAGTGATATTGATCCTAAGCTAAAGAAGCTACGTGCTAGAGGAAGGCCTGTTACTATATTAGTGGTTGGTCCTACTGGCTGTGGTAAATCAACACTCATCAATGCAATGTTTGGGAAGGATGTAGCCGAGGTTGGACATGGAGCAAGAGCTGTTACATCAGAAATAACAGCTCATGAAGGAGAGTACAAAGGGGTTAAGATAAAATTTTATGATACCATTGGGTTTGGTGATACTGAAGGCAGAACTGATTTTAATATTTTGTATGAAATTGATGAGCATGATAAGTATGATCTAATCCTCATATGTACCAAGCTGGAAGATAGAGCTAATCGTCGCATGTTCTCATCACTGGCTGCTGTGTTAAAGGAAGAGATGTGGAAGAGGACAGTTGTTGTATTAACACAGGCAAACCGATTCATTACACTTAGAACTGTTAGGAATGACCCTGAGGCTGCAATAAAAGAGAAAATTGAGGAGTACAAAAAATACATTATTGAATTTCTTTCTGAAACTGATCGTGTTAAAAAGGAAATATTGCAAAAAATACCATATTGTATAGCTGGATTAGAAGATGAAAAAGAGTTACCCTCTACAGACGACTGGTTGAAAACACTGTGGGACACATGCATTGCTCATTGCAGTGATGAGACTCGCTCTTTCTTGAAAGCATATGCAAAATACCGTCAAGCCATTGAAGTAGGAGCTGTTGTTGCCTCTGTTAGTGTGGGAACTGTAGCAGGTGCTGGTATTGGAGCAGCAGTTGGTTCTGTAGTACCTATTGTAGGTACTGCAATAGGAGCTGGTGTGGGAGCTGGAGTAGGAGCTGGTGTAGGTGGAGTTTTTGGAGGTGGCACTTCTTCTGTTGGGGTTGCTATAAAGCGTATATGGGATAAATTAAAAAAAAAATAACTGTTTTTAGTTGTAGACTTTTGTTTTTTTAGCTTGTTTAGTGACATGTAAATGCTCCTTAGCATTATTGTTAGCAAATCATTAATCTGTGTCATACCATTGAGATACTATATTTTACCGATTAAACACCCGGCGTTGATTTT